GCTTCACATCTTGACACAAACTTTTGGCGTCGTCTGGTCCAACACCAGGGTGAGACTGGGCTCTAAGAAAAGCTGTCTCGGGTGTGGACCAATCAACTTCAAGGACAGTGCATATCATCATCAGAGCTGTTTCTTTTTGTTTGCATTTTGACTGCTTGTGTTGTGTATTATTGCAAACATGATGCCTTGTATAAAGGTGTCAGTTTTTGTACCAGTTGAAAGGGTAAAAACCTATTACATTATTTTGCCACTGGCAAAGGAGATGTCTCATAGTACAAACTGTTTGATGGCCGGGTGAAAGGGTGGACGGCCTCTTGTTATATTTGTCACGCCGTCCAGGAAGCAGCCACGAGCTACTCGACATGGTCCTGGGAGTGGCATTGTCTGGTCCGACGCTTTGGTGTGGACCAAGCAGTGTGTAAGACAATGGCGATGTGTGTGTGTGTGTATAATGTTGTTGTTGTTGTGCTGCTGCTGCTGTTGAAGCTGAGGATCAAGGACTGGACGCTGGTGCTGGACAGCGTGGTGCCCTCTGACGCGGGCAACTACAGCTGTGTGGTCAGCAACCAGCACGGCTCCATCCAGCACTCGTACCAGCTCGTCGTCATCGGTGGTGACCCCCCCTCCACTCTCCCCCCCTCCACTCTCCCCCTCCCCCCTCCACTCTCTTCCCCTCCCTCTCCCCTCCCTTTCCCCCTCCCCCCTCTCCCCTCCCCTCCCCCTCCTCTCACCCCTCCATCTCCCCTCTCCCTATCATCTCCCCCTCCCCTTTTTTTCTCTTTTTATTCTACGATCAGTGGAAACAAGATGCTCGGTGTAATCGGCACTTTGCTTCGTTCATCATTTCGTAATTTTTTTTCCTCCCCTCCCTCCCTCTCCTCTCCCCCCTCCCCCTCCCGCCCCTCCCGGCGTGCAGAGCGTGGCCAGCCCCAGCGGCCGTCGCTGCAGGATGGCCTCCCGGCGAACGTAACGGCGGCGGAGGGGAGCGACGTGGAGATCCGCTGCGTCGTCCTGCAGAGCGCTGGCGGCAGCAGTCAGCAGCTGCACCACCACGTGCAGTGGCTCAAGCACGTGGAGGTGAATGGCAGCCTCGAGGCACCCAATGGCTCACCCTACGTGCACATCCTCACGGTGAGCGGGCGAGGCACGGAGGCACCCACCCACTCACCCACCCACTCACTCACCCACCCACTCACCCACTAACTCACTCACCCACCCAGTCACCCACCGACCCACCCACTAACTCACCCACCAACCTACTCACCCACTCATTCACCCACCCAGTCACCCACCCACTCACCCACCTACTCATTCACCCACCCAGTCACCCACCCACCCACCTACTCAGCCACTCACCCACTCATTCACCCAGTCACCCACCCACCCACTAACTCACCCACCCAGTCACCTACTCACCCACTCATTCACCCACCCACCCAGTCAGTCACCCACTCATTCACCCACCCACCCACCTACTAACTCACTCACCCAGTCACCCACCCACCCACCTACTCACCCACTCATTCACCCACCCACCCACCTACTCACCCACTCATTCACTTACCCACTAACCCACCCAGTCACCCACCCACTCATTCACCCACCTTTTAACTCATCCACTCACCCACCCACCCACTCATTCACCCACCCACTCACCCACTCACTCACCCAAACTCAGCGGAGGCTGACGTCACCCTCTAAACAACAGGACCCAGAAGCCACCGCTTCGCCGGGTACTTACCGCTGGCAGCTAATAAATAAATAAATTTTAAACTTGTTCACGTGACACTGAATCTTACTCGTTGGCCATGTCGGGCGGTGGCGAGCTCGACGACACAACGCTTACATGCGACGCTCCAACCCAAATCACCCCTACCCCGCACAGCAGCCTGCGTCGTGGGTATACAAACAAGATGCTGATTCGCTCGCTCTCTCCGCGCCGCCCGCCGTGTCGCCTCAAGACGGTGGGCGTGGAGGTGACGGACGTCGAGACGGACGTGCTCTACCTGCGCAACGTCAGCACGGACGACTCGGGCCGCTACACCTGCCTGGCGGGCAACGCCGCGGGGTTCACTCACCGCTCCGCATGGCTCCTCGTCGTGCCGGGCGAGACGCCGGCTGGTGAGATGTCGACTGCCTCGCCTGCTCTGCACGAGATCGTGGGTTCGATCCCGACCCTGACGATGCCTGCTGCTGCTGTATATTTGGAGTCTGCGTCTCTCTCTCTCTCTCATCATCACGGTGGCTAGATGTCGACTACCTCGCCTGGTCTGCAGGAGGTCGTGGGTTCGATCTCTCTCTCTCATCATCACGGTGGCTATGAGATGTTGACTACCTCGCTTGGTCTACAGGAGGTCGTGGGTTCAATCCTGACCCTGACGATGCCTGCTGCTGCTGTATATTTGGAGTCTGCGTGTCTCTCTCATCACGGTGGCTATGAGATGTTGACTACCTCGCCTGTCTCCCTGTGACAGTGGACACCGCCCTGGCTGCTCCCGTGAGAGTGGGCGGCGGTTCTTGCGCCGCCGCCCTCCTGCTGCTGATCGCCGTCGGAGCCGTCACCGGCCTCACGCGGAGGAGGAGAGGGTCGACCAGCGGAGAGGGGGAGATGCAGGTGCAGTTGAGGTGGTGGTGGAGGTGGTGGAGGTGGTGGAGGTGGTGGTGGCGGAGGTGGCGGTGGTGGAGGTGGTGGTGGTGGTGGCGGAGGTGGTGGTAGTGGAGGTGGTGGTAGTGGAGGTGGTGGTGGTTGAGGTGGTGTGGAGGTGGTGAAGGTGGTGGTGGAGGTGGCGGTGGTGGTGATGGAGGTGGCGGTGGTAGCGGTGGTGGTTGTGGTGGTGGTGATGGTGGAGGTGGTGGAGGTGGTGGTGGTGATGATGGTGGTGGTGGTTGTGGTGCCGCCCCAGGTGCTGTCCGCGCTGAGCGGCGTGGAGCTGTCGGGGGTGACGGGCCGTGCGACCGCTGGGAGTTCCCTCGGAAACGGTTCGTCATCATCATTGTCGTCGTCATCATCGTTGTTGTCATCGTTGTTGTCGTCGTTGTTGTGTATATGTGTGTGTCTGTGTATATGTCTGTGTGTCTGTGTATATGTGTGTATATGTCTGTGTGTCTGTGTATATGTCTGTGTCTGTATATGTTTGTGTGTCTGTGTATATGTCTGTGTATGTGTCTGTGGGTCTGTGTATATGTGTGTGTGTCTGTGTATATGTGTGTATATGTGTGTGTGTCTATGTATGTGTGTGTGTGTGTATATGTGTGTGTGTCTGTGTATGTGTGTCTGTGTATCTGTGTGTGTGTCTGTGTATATGTGTGTGTCTGTGTATATGTGTGTATATGTGTGTGTCTGTGTATATGTGAGTGTATATGTGTGTGTGTGTGTGGGAGTGGTGGTGTAGCGGTTAGCGCTACGCTGCGCTACGAACCCGGCGACCGAGTTCGATTCCCGCTCACGGCCAACACCAGTGACGATTATCTGAACCGGTCCTGGGCCTCCCCTAGGTCGACTCAGCCTCAAATGAGTACCTGGTGCGGTGTGTAAACATCGCCACTAGGGAGACAAAGGCGGCCGGGCGTGGTGCTGGCCACCCACCCCCTCGTGTGCCGTGCCGGCCTTCATAGGTGCTCGCTAACAGCACTTGCCCTACAGTCTGTTAAGGCTATACGGGGGATCTTTATCTTGTCTTGTGTGTGTCTGTGTGGTCTGTGCGTGTCTCTGTGTCTGTGTCTGTGTCTGTGTGTGTGGCTCTGTGTCTGTGTCTCTGTGTCTGTGCATGTCTCTGTGTGCGTGTGCCTCTGTGTCTGTCTCTGTGTCTCTCTGTGTCTGTGCTTGTGTCTTTATGTCTCTGTGTCTGTGCGTGTCTGTGTCTGCGCGCGTGTCTGTGTGTCTGTGTGTGTCTGTCTGTGTATCTGTGTCTGTCTGTGTGTTTGTGTATCTGTGTGTGTGTGTTTGTCTGTGTGTGTGTCTGTGTGTGTGTGTCTGTGTATCTGTGTGTGTGTGTTTGTGTGTGTGTCTGTGTATCTGTGTGTGTGTCTGTCTGTGAGTGTATCTGTGTCTGTGTGTATCTGTGTGTGTCTGTGTGTTTGTGTGTCTGTGTGTGTCTGTGTGTGTGTGTCTGTGTGTGTGTGTGTGTATGTATGTGTGTGTGTCTGTGTGCGTCTGTGTGTGTGTCTGTGTGTGTGTGTCTGTGTGTGTCTGTGTGTGTGTCTGTGGTGTGTGTCTGTGTGTGTGTCTGTGTGTGCAGGCTGACTCTGGGTGAGCAGCTGGGTGAGGGTTGTTTTGGCCGCGTGCTGCTGGCCGAGGCGCTGGGCATGGAGCCGTCACGGCCTCACCGCAGCGTCCGCGTCGCCGTCAAGATGCTGAAGGGTGACGCCCGCGGGTTCTAGACCTAGGAGTTTGTGGGGCGATCGCTACAAGTTTACATTTCGATGTAAAGCTTTCGTGACTGCAGGGATTCATCTTCTTGGTTCTTTCGGTAAAGTCACGTAGAAGGGAAATAATGAAAGAATAAAAATAAAACAATGAAATACAATTCTCACGACGTTTCGGCCACAACGCAAGCAGCCGTCCTCAGGTGAAGACCAGGTCTGTCGGAAAGACAGACCTGTTGTTCACCTGATGGCTGCTTGCATTGTGGCCGAAACGTCGTGAGAATTGCATTTTATTATGTTTTATTTGTATTACTAAATTATGTTTTATTATTTAATTATGTTTTATTATTTTATTATTTCCATTCTACGTGGTGACTTTACCGCTAGAAGAGTTTGTTTTTAATTTGCGTCCGGACGTGCGGCGTGCGAGCCCAGCGCACGCCACGGAAGCGGAGACCCACGACCTCCACGCGGAGCTGGAGACCCTCAAGAAGATCGGACGGCACAGCCACCTGGTGAACCTGCTGGGCGCATGCACACGGGGCGGTGAGCGTGGGGGGGGGTGAGGGGGGTGGTGAGCGTGGGTGGTGAGTGTGGGGGGTGGTGAGCGTGGGTGGTGAGTGTGGGGGGTGGTGAGCGGGGGGGTGGTGAGCGTGGGTGGTGAGTGTGGGTGGTGAGTGGGGGTGGTGAGTGTGGGGGGGTGGTGAGTGGGGGGGTGAGCAGCCCCCCTCCCTCGTGATGGCGATGAACTCTTCACCTTGTGGACTAATTTGGCTTCGCGAGTGATGTTGGCAAAGCCGAGAGTTGGGTCGTCTTCTTGGTGACTCGGCTTCTAAAGAACCGGGATTGTGATCATTGCACCTCCCCCGTCCCCCTCTCTATTTCGAAGCCAATGAAACCAACACGAACTTGTAGACAACTCGAGCAGCAGGCAAGGCCTGCACTCCGCTGCCTGTACGGCTCCTCTTCAGAAGCGACCCCTGGCGCCGCCGCCGCCACTCACGGCAGCTCAAGCCGCTTTGCTTGACAGCGGCAGCCCCAGTGACGTTTGCTGTTGAGAGCGACTTGCCCGCCGCTGCTCACCAGTTTGTATGTCGTCAGGCAAGACCCCCCCCCCCCTCGAGCTGCGTTACTCTTGTTCCGGAAGCCACCTGGCCATCACGGACGATTGCTGGTGGACATTAGTAGCGATGTCGATTCCAAAATGTGAAAAGGGGAAAAACCGTAGGACACGGGGGAAATAAAAATCCATCTGGATCGAACGCACGACCTCCTGCGTACCAGGCGAGGTAGTTAACATCGCATAGCCACCGTGATGATGATAAAGAGACACACAGACTCCACATATACAGCAGCAGCAGCAGCAGGCATCGTCAGAGTTGGAATTGAACTCGCGACCTCCTGTAGACCAGGCGAGATAGTTAACATCTCACTGTGCCCCTCCCCCCCCAACTCCCCCAGGCCCCCTGCTCATGATCGTTGAGTTTGCGGCCAAGGGGAATCTGCGCGACTTCCTGCGTGCACACCGCACGCCCGGCGCAGAGTGCACGGTGCGTGGCGGCTACGGAGCCGGCGGTGGTGGCGGTGATGGCGGTGGCGGCGGCGGTGGTGGCGGTGGTGGCGGCGACGAGGTGAAGGGCGAAACGCTCTCCATGCTGCAGCTGGTGGCCTTCGCCTGCCAGGTGGCACGCGGCATGGAGTACCTCACCTCTAAGAAGGTGCAGCGACGACACCCACCCGCACGCACATCTACCCACTCAACAACAACAACAACATACTCGTCGTTTTCTCAGTAAAGTCACGTAGGTAAAAAATTTAATTAAAATTAATAAAAAATAATAAAAATCTTAAATACAAGTTAAGAACTTGCATCTTGGAATCCCTGCCTCACTTGATACAGCAAGTCTGGCTGTGACGGTCCCACCAGATGCCTCCAAAACGTCGTGATTTTTATTTTATTTTTATTTTTATTTCATTTTCTACCTACATGGTGACTTTACCGAAAAAACTAAGAGTATGAATCCTTGCAGTCACGAAAGCTTCAAATCTAGAACAACAACAACAACCGCCATTCGCCACTAAGTGGCGGTGACGTCACCACGACGCTTGTGCCAGGCCATGTGCACCTTGAGGCCACGTGAAGTGTCGAGGAGGTCACGGGGCAGACCCAGGTGCCACGGGTCGACTGACTGAGATGACTGGCTGATGCACCACCTGTGCCCCCTACTGTGCCAACTTGCTGTGCTTTAGCCACCCGGCGCTCCGCTCGTTGTTGTGAGCGTCGCTCCTCTGCCCTCCGTTGTTGTTGGAGGGCGACTGCCTCCAACTGCCCAGTAGCGTCCTTCACGAGCCTCCTCCACAGAGGCCGATCTTGACACCGCTGGTACCAGTCATCGGCAAGTCCACTCAGCTCCACGTCCTCCTGTACCACATCACTCCATCTCTTCTCTAGCCCGTGCGCGCCCGTTTAGCCCCCTCATCCGGCCGAACAAAAGCTGTTTAGGCATGCGGTGGCTGGGCATGCGGGCTACATGACCCAGCCAACGCAGCCTTGCCTGCCGAGGAGCTCACCGATGGGACTTGTCCAGATCTTTCAAGGATTGTGAGCTCCTCACACAATCCAGCCTGGTTAAACCCAGGATGGATCGTAGGCAGGCCAGCCTAAATGTTTCTAACCGGCGAAGATGTTCCATTAGGGGGGTCCACGTTTCGCAAGCGTAGAGAAGGAGGGAATGACTGTGGCCGAGAAGACCTGAAGCTTCGTGCGGAGCGACAGACCAGGTAGCTTCCACACAGCGTTACGCAACCGATGAAAGATAATGCCGCTCGACTGATTCGGAGTGAGACCTCTGCTGTCAAACCGGAGCCGGTCATGAGCACACTGCCCAGGTATGGGAAACTCTCCACTCTCTCCACAACTGCCCATCACCAGATGGGAGTTGTGGGGGTGGAGTGTCCGATGGTACAAAATACCCAGGCAGGTGCTTAGTTTTGGTGGGGCTGATGGTAAGGCCCCACCTCTTAGTGGCAAGCTCCAGTTCAGCAGCAGCGCCTCCAACTCCTCCTCTGAGTGAGCAGCAATTACCAGATCATCGGCATACATAACATGGTTGACCAATAGGGAGCCATCCCTTGACCGCACCCGGGCATCGATCAGCCTCCCATTGTATCTGTACCAGATGGAAATTCCTCCGGTACAGCTATGAAGGCTTCACGAACTACGTGGTCGAAATAGATGTTAAATAATGTGGGAGCCAGAGGACATCCCTGTCGCACCCCAAGTGAACAGGGAATGGCTCTGACTCCCGGCCACGTAGTTTTACCCGGGCCGCTCACCATCATGAAGGTCCTTAATGATCGTGAGCAGAGGTCAGGGACTCCGAAAGCACGAAGAACAACCCAGAGCCCAGGCCTACTGATGGTATCATAGGCCTTGACCAGGTCAATAAAGCAGAGATGTAGGTCTTGTTGGAATTCCCTACACCTCTGCTGTAGCAGACGACAGAAAATATGGCATCTGTGCAGGACCGCCCTTTCCTGAAACCGCATTGGGGCTCCGCAAGCCTCTCCTCAGCGTGCCTAGCAAGGCGATGTTGAATAATCCTTGCCAGGACCTTTCCCGGCACACTGAGGAGTGAGATGCCCCTGTAGTTGTTACAGTCTGTGCGGTCCCCCTTCTTAAAGAGGGGGACCACCAGGGCATCCTTCCAATCCTGCGGAACCCGTCCAGTGGTCCAGACTTTGTTATGTCATGTAGGGCAGTCTGTGCACAAACGCCACCCTCCCTCAGCATTTCGCTTGGGAGATCATCTCTGCCCGGTGCCTTTCCTGGTCTCAGACTCTGGATCGCCTTCAGTACTTCCTCAACAGATGGCACCTCAGCCAGCCACTCACAGGGGGTGACTTCTTCCAATATTTGAGGCACCGCAGCCTCAGCAGGGTTATCCCCACTTTGTGCCATGATGTTTTCCTGGCTGAGGGATTTCCCCTCCCCCAGGACCTCACAGAAATGCTCAGCAAATCTGCAAACCTGTTCCTGGGGGTCGGAGATTGGATCACCGTTTTTTCCCCTAATGATGGTAATAGGTGTGGCGCTGCAGGTTACTTTTTTGATGGAGTTAAATAGTGATTTGTGATCGCGGCCACTGAGGCAGACTCCATCTCCTCAGCAACCCGACCACCACCCATCCTTGCAGCGCCTCACGGCTCTCCGAACCTCCGAGCGAAGGCTGCGGTAAGCCTCCTCATTCTCTGACGTGGGATGCTGTCGACGATGAGAGTGGGCCTGTCGCTTTTTCTCAACTATCCTGAACACCTCCTCTGTCAGCCAGGGTCTCTGGGAGGTCTGGACCGCGTACCCAAAGCAGCCATTGCAGCTGCATGAGTCACAGTCCTAAACCTCGCCCATTTACCCTCGACATCAGGAGGAGTGGGGACGATGCCAACCCCAGCTGCAAGCGATGATGAAATTCTCGCTTGCAACTTTCATCAGCTGAGACCAGGCCACTTTAGGTTGGAATGGGGTCCTGGGTGTACACCCACCACCGGAGTGGAAGAATGGCAGGCGCATCTTACAGATGACTAGTCGATGGTCAGAGGGCAGATCAGCTCCACGGTAGGTCCTGGTGTCAAGGACATGGGCTCGCATCCGCTGGTCCGTCACTATGTAGTCCAGCAGATGTTCTTGCTTGGACCCGGCATGCATCCATGATGTTGTGTGGATGCGCCGATGCCGGAAGAGCGTGTTGGTAATTACAAGCCCATGGGCTGCACAAAAATCTAGCAGCCTCCTACCGTTGTTATTGAGCTGATCTGGCCCATGCCTTCCAATCACTCCAGACCAGGTGCCAGCATCATGACCAACTCGGCATTGAAGTCACCCAACAAGATGACTCTATCCCGAGTGCCACTTTAGCCAGCACCTGTGACAGGAGGTCATAGAAGGCATCTGACTCATCGGCTTTGCCTGCATCCCTCCACGGATGTTCGTCTTCGGTGGGGGCATAAGTAACCACGACCACCACTCCTCGTCTCCGGTTGATGGGAAGGCGAGCCCACAGTAGCCTGGGGCTTACAGCTTCCCACACCTCACCGCCACGCTCCCACGCCCCCTTCATTCTTTTGTTCAGAAGAAGAGCCACACCCTGTTGTTTGGCAGTCTCCTGCCCCGAGTAGAGGACTGTCCACCCCTCATGGTGGCAGGAGCCAGGACCGGTCCACCGGACCTCCTGAATGCCACAGTGATCCAGGCGGTTGTTTCTGGAGGAGCCCCAAGGGTGAAGATTCAATCTCCTGGCTCCGGCAATTGGGGTTTGGCCAGGAGACATCATAGACACCTGTCCCCCCCCCCCCCCCCATGGCCTGTGCCACAAACTTATTAGTTACATATTTAATTTGTGGTTTAGTGGTAATTAATTGAAGGTGGAAGAGTTATCAGCCTCTTGCACCCGTCCAGAGCCCCCGTTTAGCCACTGTGGTGGTCACAGACGCCATGACGGGAGAGGCCAATCGGCATTGGCCCTCCCCCCACAGCACTGTCCACGACAGAGTTGCCCGTCCGGCACCCACACACACCTACCCACACACACCTACCCACACACCCCTACCTACACATCTCCTACCCACACACCCCTACCCACACACCCCTACCCACACACACCTACACACACATCTCCTACCCACACACACCTACCCATGCACCGTGTGTGTCGGTGTCACAGTGCGTTCACCGGGACCTGGCGGCCAGGAACGTCCTCGTCGTTGACGGCGGAGGCGGTAGCGGCTATTCGGTGAAAATCGCCGATCTGGGCCTCACCCGCGACGTGGGCGGCGAACGTGACTACTACTACCAGCACAAGACTGCTGCCGTGAGTGGCGGTGGTGGCGGTGGTGGCGGCGGTGGCGGAGGTGGTGGAGGTGGTGGCGGTGGTGGTGGCGGTGGAGGAGGTGGTGGTGGTGGTGGTGGCGGTGGTCATGCCCGGGGAGGGGGGGGGAGAGAGAAGAGAGAGAATCTTTCATGAAATCTTTCATTTGAAAAAAAGAAGAGGGGGGGCACATAAAGCAAAACATTGAAAAAAATTACGAAATGATGAATGAAGCAAAGTGCCGACTACACCGAGCATCTTCTTGTTTCCTCTGATCGTAAAAAAGAAAAGAGAGGGAGGTAGGGGAGAGGGTGGTGGTGGATAAAAGGGTGGTGGTGGTGGTGGGTCAAGGGTCAGGCTGTGCTTCGTTGACCTCCCCTCGTCACCTGTCGCCCCTCCAGGGACGCCTGCCGGTGAAGTGGATGGCACCGGAGGCATTGCTGCACCGCGTCTACACACAGCGGAGCGACGTGTGAGTGGCTGTGACACGTTGACTACCTCGGCTGGTACGCAGGAGGTCGTGGGTTCCATCCAGACCCTGACACTGCCTGCTACCGATGTATACGGTCGACCCTTCCACATCTCGGGGGTTAAGGGTGCGGGCCCCCCACGATCTGGAAAAACCGCGTACATTTTTTTGGTCCCCTCACTCACCTCCAGCCAGGGGGTTTTTGAGATACAAAGATCACTGCGAGATCACTGCGAGAATTTTTTTTTATTTGTTCTTTTTGTGTTTTTAACGCCGTTTGGGATGGGTATTTGTCATATATGAAGGTCAGTCGTAAGTAAAAATAGAGAGAAATAAAAAACATAAGAAAGAAATTGAGAAGAATAATAGTCTACACTATGGGAACCTCATTTGCCAGTAAAAATATGATAATTGGTTTTTTACCCTTCTATCTGGCAACAAAACTGACACCTTTTTACAAGGAGTCATGTTTGTATAGACCGCAATACCTGCAGTCATAATACAAACGTGCGCCTTTTGGCGTCATCTGGTCCAACCCATGTGAGACTAGGCTCGAAGGAAAGCTGTCTCGGGTGTGGACCAATCAACTTCAAGGACAGTGCACATTATCAGAGTTATGTTCTTTTGTTTGTATTATGACTGCAGGTATTGCGGTCTATACAAACATGACTCCTTGTAAAAAGGTGTCAGTTTTGTTGCCAGATAGAAGGGTAAAAAACCAATTATCAAGAATAATAGTATCACAAAACACAGCAAAAATCACATCTTAGCCAATTATACAAATACTCGCTTGACTCCCCGGCCTCGCCTGAGACTTGGACTCTTGCGTGGGTTCACACACGGCCTACGCGGAGGGTTTCGGGGGGGGAGCGTAACGTCAGCAGGCACACTGCTGACAGAGGAGGAGTTCAGGATGGTTGAGAAAAAGCGACAGGCCCACTCTAATCGTCTACAGCATCCCACGTCAGAGAATGAAGAGGCTTACCACGATCACAAATCACTATTTAACTCCATCAATAAAGTCACCTGCAGTGCCACACCTATTACCGATGTAATAACAGCCATAGAGGGTTCACGTGGGGATTGGCTTGCCGGTCCTGCTTTGTAGCCAATAAGGGATGAGCCAGGGAGCATGGCCTCGGCGTGATCACGGCATGTTAGCAGGGGTGATTGGCCTGGCCATTCGGGGCCCCAGCTAATGGGGAGCCGGATCAGAGGCGTGGTCCCGGGATTGACAGGGAACCATCAAGAACGGTCAATGCTGTCTATGGAGGATTGGCTGGGGGGTACCACGTGACGAAGGGATTAAGAGAGAGAGAGAGAGCGATCGAGAGCAGACTTGGGAACGACAAGATGATGCAGGAGTCACGCGCGTACGGGGGCTCTGGGTGCCACGTGCGCGGTGGGGACTTGGTGGGAAGTCTGCCCTCTCTCCGTTGTCTGCCAGCAACGGAGAGTGTGTGAGTGAAGTGTAACTGTGGAAGTAGAAAATAAAAAGGACTGATTCCGGAGCCGTCTCAAGAAGGTTTATTACACCATCATTAGGGGAATCCCCGACCCCCAGGAACAGGTTTGCAGATTTGCTGAGAATTTTTGAGGTCCTGGGGGAGAGGAAATTCCTCAGCCTGGAAAACATCATGGGGAAAAATGGGGATAACCCTGCTGAGGCTGCGGTGCCTCAAATATGTGAGTTGCTGGCTGAGGTGCCATCTGTTGAGGAAGTACTGAAGGCGATCCAGAGTCAGAGACCAGGAAAGGCACCGGGCAAAAATCATCTCCCAAGTGACATGCTGAGGGAGGGTGGCATTTGTGCACAGACTGCCCTACATGACATCATAACAACAGTCTGGACCAATGGATGGGTTCCGCAGGATTGGAAGGATGCCCTGGTGGTCCCACTCTTTAAGAAGGGGGACCGCACAGACTGTAACAACTACAGGGGCATCTCACTCCTCAGTGTGCCGGGAAAGGTCCTGGCAAGGATTATTCAACATCGCCTTGCTAGGCACGCTGAGGAGAGGCTTGCGGAACCCCAATGGGGTTTCAGGAAAGGGCGGTCCTGCACAGATGCCATATTTTCTGTCTGTCTGCTACAGCAGAGGTGGATGGAATTCCAACAAGACCTACATCTCTGCTTTATTGACCTGGTCAAGGTCTATAATACCATCAGTAGGCCTGGGCTCTGGGTTGTTCTTCGTGCTTTCGGAGTCCCTGACCCTCTGCTCGCGATCATTAAGGACTTTCATGATGGTGAGCGGGCCCGGGTAAAACTATGTGGCCGGGAGTCGGAGACATTCGCCGTTTACTTTGGGGTGCGACAGGGATGTCCTCTGGCTCCCACATTATGTAACATCTATTTCGACCACGTAGTTTGTGAAACCTTCAGTAGCTGTACCGGAGGAATTTCCATGTGGTACAGATACAATGGGAGGCTATTCGATGCCCGGGTTTGGTCAAGGGATGGCTCCCTATTGCTCAACCATGTTACGTATGCCGATGATTTGGTAATTGCTGCTCATTCAAAGGAGAAGTTAGAGATGCTTCTGCTGAAACTGGAGTGTGCCACTAAGAGGTGGGGCCTTATCATCAGCCCCACCAAGACTAAGCACCTGCCTGGGTATTTTGTACCATTGGACACTCCACCCCCACAACTCCCAATTGGTGATGGGGCAGTTGTGCAGAGAGTGGAGTTTCCCATACCTGGGCAGTGTGCTTATGACCGGCTCCGCACGAAGCTTCAGGCCTTCTCGGCCACAGTCATTCCCTCCCTTCTCTACGCTTGCAAAACGTGGACCCCCCTAATGGAACATTTTCACCGGTTAGAAACATTTAGGCTGGCCTGCCTACGATCCATTCTGGGTTTGACAAGGCTGAAATTTGTGAGGAGCTCACAAATCCTCGAAAGTCTCATCGGTGAGCTCCTCCGGCAGGCAAGGCTGCATTTGCTGGGTCATGTAGTCCGCATGCCCAGCCACCGCATGCCTAAACAGCTTTTGTTCGGCCGAATTGAGGGGGCTAAACGGGCGCGGCATGGGCTAGAGAAGAGATGGAGTGATGTGGTACAGGAGGACATGCAGCTGAGTGGACTTGCCGATGACTGGTACCAGCGGTGTCAAGATTGGTCTCTGTGGAGGAGGCTCATGAAGGACGCTACTGGGCAGTTGGAGGCAGTCGCCCTCCAACAACAACGGAGAGCGGAGCAGCAACGCTCACAACAACAAGCGGAGCGCCGGGTGTCTAAAGCACAGCAAGTTGGCAGTCGGGGGCACAGGTGGTGCATCAGCCAGTCATCTCGGTCATCTCAGTCAATCGACCCGTGGCACCTGCTGGGTCTGCCCCGTGACTTCCTGCCAGCGGGCCTTCGACAATTCACGTGGCCTCAAGGTGCACATGGCCTGGCACAAGCGCCGTGGTGATGTCACTACCACTTAGTGGCGAATGGTGGTTGTTGTTGTTGTGTACGTGCGTAAGCATGCATGTGTATGCGTGTGTGTGTGTGGTTGTGCATGCATTTGCATGTGTGCGCGTGTTTGTGCGTATGTGTGTGCAGGTGGTCCTACGGGGTGCTGCTGTGGGAGATCTTCACCCTGGGGGGCTCTCCGTACCCGGGCGTCCCCGTGGAAAAGCTTTTCAAGCTGCTCGGTGACGGCTACCGCATGGAGCGGCCTGCCCTATGCTCCGACGAGCTGTGAGTAGGAATCGGTGATCTCAATGACGACTACGACGATGACGTCATGTTACCTACAGGAGCGTCATTCGTTGATGTTGTTGTTATTATTACTCTGTACACTACACTATACACTACACTATACACTACACTATACACTACACTATACACTACACTATAATTGTAAATACAGTAGTGGGTTTACTCTGTACACTACACTATACACTACACTATAATTGTAAATACAGTAGTGGGTTTACTCTATACACTACACTATACACTACACTATACTTGTAAATGTAGTGGGTTTACTCTATACACTACACTATACACTACACTATACACTACACTATAATTGTAAATGTAATGGGTTTACTCTATCCACTACACTATACACTACACTATACACTACTCTATGATTGTAAATGTAGTAGCTGCATGTCTGTGCACATTGCGTGTACGCCGTGCGCACGGTGTACACGCACGGTGTACACGCACGGTGCGTGTTGAACTTGACTCGCGTGTCGCCGTGCGCAGACACGCGACGATGAGCGAGTGCTGGGCGACCGTCCCCAGCGACAGACCGACGTTCGCGCGGCTGGCGGACGACTTGGGGCGGATCCTCGTGGCCAACGGCGGCCGCTGTGACGAGGTGACCGCTGCCCCGTCCGGGAGGGGGGGGGACGACACGGGCCACGGGGCAGAGAGAGAGAGATGGAGACGTGGGGGTCGTCAGGCCGTAGGGGTCCAACCTGCGACCTCCCGCTTGCCACCACGCTCGTAGGATGCCATAGAGGGAAGAGAAGTGGTGGTGGTGGCTGTGGTGGTGGCGGTGGTGGTGGCGGTGGTGGCATCAGTGGCTTTGGCCATGATGATGAGATGTTTCTTTTAAAAGGACTAAACGTTGATCTTCTTGACACCAGTGATAGCGATGATCTGTTCTGGTCCCGGGTCTCCACTAGGTCGACTCAGCCTCAATCGAGTACCTGGTGTGGTATGCGTAGTAAACATCGCCGCCGGGGAGACAAAGGCGGCCGGGCGTGGTGCTGGCCACCCACCCCCTCGTGTGCCACAGCGCCGGTAGCCTTCATAGGTGCTGCTACTCGCTAACAGCACTTGCCCCTACAGTCTGTTCAGGCTGCCGATCACACTACTTTGTCTGAGATTATGGGCCAACGGCTGGTCCTGCTCGGGGAGGCGCTGGGAAATACCTGGTTAGCTGTCGACCCACTTGACGGCTGAATGGCAGCTTGATAGCATGGGAGTTCCGCCCGGTTTATACGCTACAACTGAGTTCCCTATTATGGGTGCTACCTGGAGATACTCTCTCATCCTCTTTCTCAGCCAGAAACAGATCTTGTCCCAGCTGACACTCAAGGTGCTAGTCGTGAGCTACAGAATTTCTACAATCTATTACCATGTACGGCTAGCTCCACTCGATTGGGGCTGAAGCCTGTGGAGAGCCCACGAAATGTAGAGTTGCAATATTGGATTCGTAGAATAGGTGACCTAAATTCAATAGTTGAAACTAATAATAATCTATTGGTTTACCGTGAAATTTTAAACGAAAAAAGGTTCGCCCTGGGCGTATGATGACTATTCAGGACAAGTTCTATTCTTGCTCCTAGCGCTTACTAAGCTGTCATATCCAACGGATTTTAACTGCAGCCAATTCTGAAGACCCGAACGATGTATGTATTAGGTCTCACCGCGATAACATTTCCGGTCCTGGCTAAACCGGGCTTAGTCCGTGCCCCTGACAAATAGGACAAGAATATGTCACCACTTTACAGTTTAATGAGTTGGATTTTGCTAACAAGAGAAGAGTTTAAAGCCTTAACAATGGAAAGGCTTCCCCAGTCCAACTGAGGAATGTGCTGTGAGTACGATACTGTCTAGCTCAAATCTAAATATGGTACATCCGCCGAAGGTTTAGCATTTTAAACGACACGACAATCATGCTTTTTCTGTGGCGGTCATTACCCCAGCAGTCATGCTCTTTACACAATATGACCTGCCCGCGGGGTCAGGATATGAGAGTCACGTTCACCCCTGGCGTAGCCAGAGGTACGGCTCGTGATAGTACGTTTGCATATTATAATAGCGTCAAGCTTGGAGCATACTACCTGCGTAGTAGGTGGAACATCGAATTGTCGGCACGCATGGCATAAAGTTAGCTACAAGTGTTTTGTGAGGTACTAGCTATTAATGCTTTTACCACGATTAGGGGTGAGAGACGGGCCCAATCCACTCTAGCCCTCCGACCCGCAAACTCCCCACTTTATAGCTACGAACATCGTAAGGCTGGATGGGAAACCCTTAAAAGATTGAACGGCCTCGTCATGTTGTTCGCGTGTATAAGCCTAAAGGATGCGCCTCGCACATCAGATCCGTACATGCCCATGTGAATGCGATAGACCACGGGGCATACCGAGGTGTATCTGACGTAGCATAGTTCGAGCGCGGCATGGGGTCCTTGGATCACAAGGGCCTGCTACCTACTCCACAGAGGTGGCAGGTCAAGACGGATTACATCTGCAGGGAGTGTATAAGGCGGTACTTTGCAGGCGGAAAGGGTACGTATGATTAGCGTTGACGTTCCAAACCGCCAAGTATTTCCCCAGGTTCTACCTGTGTAGTACTGTGCGAATTGGCAGGTAACACTCAGAAACCATATTCGGACGCTCGCACGCTCGATGCGCGGCTCTTTGATGTTTTTTCGATGATAGTGACGATGATGTCGCGAATTCCTGGGTCCAGAGAGTCTAGTCGGATATAGTGCTCTAGTGACGTTTCTCTCCGACAAACGCATTCCCGAATCGATATATACACACCGAGCAGGTACTGACAAACTCAATCGTCTTTCCGTACTGTCACTACTCGCCAGCCGGCAGACTACGAGCGTACCAATGGCAACTTGTCAGAAAGACATATAATTAGCTTAATCCAATTTTCCTCGACTTCGGCTAGAGCCATTTTCGCAAACGAGTGCTGCTATATTCAGCGCTTTAGCCATCTGCTCTATAGTAATTGACGATGGTGTCTTGAGAGCGCGCCTTGCTAGCGAACGAATCCGACCAGACAACATAGGAGAGTCCTATTTAGTTTTGCCTCTGGAAAGCTTCTCAAATTCGCTTTTCGGTCGTCCCACGTAGTAAGTGATCCCGTAGGGTAGCTCGCACATAACCGTACCTGCCGTTTCAGGGAAACGCCTTGTCAAACAGTACCATCGAGGTCGTACGGCGCGTATGTTGCTATGCGGGACAAGAAGATAGTATGGAACTTTGGTACGATCTTGTGGTCCGCTAGAGGAGCGATCTGCGTCCACAGATCAACGACTCGTGTCTAATTTGTGGCCACCCTAACGCGTACCTGAGCAGGTTGAGGCTCGTGCCAGCGTCCAGTCTTTAGCAAGTACCCATCCGGCCAATCGAATCGTAAAATGCCACTACTTTTGCGAGTGGTCGTGTTCAACTCATCTACGGTGGGTTCCGTGGGCTCCCAATTGCCATTCAAACGCCAATTTTCATCTCATTGGAGTGTATCTTTAGAACGTGCTACTAAACGCTGATCAGTTCTGCCCTTTGCCTTGAGGTGTGGAGCAGACTCCATCCATGTGCGAAGCTGGCATGGTGTCTCCTTACCGCTATTTAAATAATTTTTTTTACAACGTGACGAAGACTTCTAAGCAGTCTGATGTTGTGGACAAGGAGGCCTCTAGCAGGAGAACCTTTACGGTTGGAGTTATACCTCTGAACGTCGAACCACCCGTGAAGGGTACGACGGTTCAATCTTATTTTCTCTATCGGCGTTCTGAAAATTGTGACGTCGGCTTACCGACCAAGACATAGAAGCGCATTTCATTGATTGGAGCACATCTCTGCTAGACAATTCGGTTATCACTTCTTAGACTTAAAGGCAAGGCAGTACCGGAGTGAGCCGTGGTTGCCGGTCACACCGGAATTCCTGAATGTCGATCATACGTAAAATAACACGATCCTCAAAACAATGACGAATGGTCATCATTTTGCGAGCCTGTGTATTGATTTGTCTCTATGGTCGGATTATACAGTTTCGCACGAGTGACGATCATCTTAAGCTGAGGCCCTCTCGGCTCAGTGATGGTCGGAGCCCGCGACTGTTTGTCACTTAGTCGCGTTGACTCATTTCAACCTAGTGCCTCTATACACAAGTAAACTGCGTTGAAAGAAGTAGCGAGCATCTAGTGACCTCACAGGAGGCCATGAGTAGTGATCTCCAACCTGTTTTGGCTTATGTACTGTACACAGCTGACGACAGTTGCGATTGCACCGTGGGAACCGCCTACCACAAGCGTTTCAGCATGGGGTATGGGACAAGCCGTAAACTTTTCGCTGTCCAAGCACCGTTGGCGCGTTTGGTTTTTCTGCTTACGCGTTATGCCTGGGATGTGAAGCAGAATCCAACCCGTACGTTATGATGATAATACCCGTCGTTACCCCAACGCCTACTAGTTTGCGGGGTTCCCTACTCGAAAGAAGCGCCTACAACTTGCCTCACCCCGCCACGTTTCCCATTCTAAGCGCAATGCTCCGTCCCGAGGGGAGAGGTTGAATAATAAAGCGGCTCGAGAACTCGACGTCGAGGCCTGGCGCCTCCGGGCATCGTTCGATGTGCGCTCCCGAGGGATGAAGGGATACGGCCTAAACGCTTAGATCGGGGTATCCAGCACGGCTCCTTGCAACGGAATACACCCATTTGAGACTGGTCTTGTTAGACTCTTTCGTACCTGATTCCAGCGTTTAGTCCCCGGCAAGGCAGACTACTCGACCCTGTAGATCGTGGTATTAGCACCTAATACGTGGACTTTGGTCACTTGGCACCCAGAGCCTCCATCATGCTCAGGCCTCGTTATCCTTATAATGAGCAGGATAACACAAACCCCCTCGAACAAAGACCTTGGCCACTCTGTACCCAGCAGCTATGCTCCATCGCCTCACTCCAGGAGGAGGCTACGTCTTGTGAGATGCACCATTCTAGGCTCATTTAAAGACTAAACAGCAGTGAGAAAGAGGTTCCTTTTTTGGCTAGCGCGACAGTCACGACTGAAGGCGGGCATTGTGTTCAGGCTCACCCGGGGCCCAGGGCTTCTCGAGCGACTACGGGACCTGCCCATGGACCGTGATCTGCGCACAAATGCTCTATTTGTGGGGGAACACTTCGCCGCGGGGCTCGGAGCTGTTCTTATCCTAGAACATAGAGAACCGAAGCTATGGCGTAGACGGTGCTAAGTACTATTTAATGATCTCATTAACTCCCCCCTCAAATTGTCAGATTAAAATTCCTTATAACTCTGTCGGAGGTAAAGCTGGTGGCTTCTCCCGATGCGACTTACCCATTAAGATCGTCACCCGCAACCACGACCTGTTCAAGTCTTTGAAATTCAGACACCGACGTTTGTAATCCATCTCACTAGGGGACTTTCGCAAAAGTTGACACTGGTCTTTATTTCTCAGTTGGCGGTCCTGAAGCTTCAAGCCATGAACTTCCCGCCTGTTCGATCTCAGTTCGGCTACCTAAACTACATTGGTAAAGGGCCCACTCACACATTCTAACAGTGTCCTACCGAGGCCTGTTAACTCTCATCAGTTGGCAACGCATACTTCGACTCAACAGACTCTCGCAGCACGTCCGTGTAAATTCAAATACTCGCGCTGTTTAATTTCTTCGTATCATGGGTTGTATCAGCTGCTCATCTTCCACTCCACCACCTTCGTGTAACGCGACACGGTCACGGCATTTTTGCCTTAATTTCCTAGCAAAATCATTCCGCATCCGATCACGGTCGATATTCTCTTCGGCTCGCGAACGGACTAGGTTTGCTAAGCGCCGTAGTTGAAAATCGGCCTAACTTTATTCATTAAGTAAACCTCTGGAGGTAGGTTTGCGACTTGTGTTAGACCGGTAGTAATGACGAAGTAGAAAAAAGGTTGGATTTATGGCTAAAGGTGTAGAAGTGCGGCCG